GCTGAGGAATTCTGGGAGTTGAAGTCCACAAGTCTTAAAGTTGCCAAGGTTGGACACCCCTGCCCTAGAGGCTGCACAGCCCGGCCACTTCTTCCCCAGGGCTTGGACTTCAAGGCCCAGCATTCCCAGCCGGTCCCGGGACTGCCCCGATGGGCGAGCCACCCGACGGCCAATCGGGGAGACGGAGCGCCTGCAAGCGCCGCCCGGCCGCTGTCCAGGGTGCTGAGCGCAGCGGCTCCTCGCCCGCCTCTCCTCGGGGAAGGCCCGAAAGCCCCGCTCGTCCCCCGGGGCCCCGCCGCTCCCCGACCCGGCCGGCCCGCCAGCCTCGGCCCCGGCTCCAGCGGCCTCCTCGGCCAGCACGTGGCGCCCCGCCGGCCGGCTCCGCCTCCCGGCCCGGCCGACGCTCCGGAGCGCGGCCGCTGCAATGCGAAGGGCGCTCCCGCTGCCCCGGGGCCTCGGCGGGAGCCTGGGCTGCAGAGGCGGCCCCGCCGGCGGCTCCCCGGGCCACCGGCGGGGCTTCCCGGGCTGGCCCAGCGGCCGAGGAGGCCCCGGAGGACCCCGCGGCAGCCCAGCGCGTGGCCTCGGGCGCTTCCCCGAGGGAGCCAGGCGCCGGCGGCTCCCGCTCCCCGGCTCCCCGCGGTTCCCGCCGGCCACTCACCGGCCATGGCGGCGTAGAGCAGCTGGGCCAGCGGCTGGTCCTTGAGGCCGCGGAAGGCGGTGTTGGGGATGCGCTCCAGGATGCCCTCGTAGAAGATGCGCCGCGCCGCCTCGCCCTCGGCCGGGTGGAAGGGCCGGATGGAGAGCCCCGCCGCCCCCGAGGGCCGCTCCCCCCCTCCGGCCGAGGCCCCGGGCGGCGAGGCGGCGGGCCCGGGCGGCCACATCTGCGCGGCAGCGGCGGCGGCGGCGGCGGGGGCGGCGGCGGGGGGCAGCAGGCGTCCCTCCTTGCCGGCGGCCCCGAGCGACTGCCGCTCCTCGGCCACGATGGCGGTCTCGCAAACCATCTCGGGAGGCGAGCAATTCATCAAACGGGCGGCGGGCGGCGGGCGGGGCGCGGGGCGAGGCGGCGGCGGCGGAGGCGGCGGGAGCGGCGGCGGCGGCGGCAGGAAAGAGCCTCCGCCGCATTTGCGGGCCATTTATAAGGCAGCCGCGGCGCTGCAGTTGGGGCCGCGCAGCCCCCGGGTCCTAGCGCCCCGCTCATTGGCCGAGAGGGGCCCGCGCGCCCCGCACCCGCCCCGCCCGGGGACCCCGCCGAGACGGGGGAGGGAGGGGGGGAGGGAGGGGGCGGGCCCGGCGGGGCGGCGGTTGCCGAGCGGGGCGTCGTGGGGCGAAGTCTCGGCCGGGACAGAGCTCCGGGCTGGGCGGCCCGCCGGGGGGGGGCGTGTAAAGCGGCCCTTCGAGGGGCGTCCGGGCGCTGCTCCGGCTTTTCCGCCAGCGCCGCCCGGGATGACGCGACACAAAGTTTGACTTTGCCGGCCGGGATGCGGCAATGCTGCGCAGGCTGCCTCGGGCCGCGCCGCCTTTCGGCCCCCGGCCCTCGCAGGCGGGCGGGCGGGCGGGCCCAGGGACTCCGCGAGTCCCTCCCCACTGCGGCCACGGCGCGGCCCCCTTTGCAGAGCGCGGCCCCGAAGGGACGGGCGGGGGGGGGCCGCGGGGGGGGCCCGCCCTTGGCCGCGTTGCGCCACCCCCCCCCCCCCCCCCCCCCCCCCGAAAAGGAGCGGGGCACCTGGCGGGCTCTCCGCGGGGTCGGCCCGGCTTTCCCGGGCGGAGGGAGCCCCGCTCGGGGGCGCCACAAGCGACCCCTGCGATCCCCTGCGGGGGGGGGGGGGGGGCGCAAGAGAGCCGCCTCTCCGACCCGCTTCCCCGCGGGAGGAAGCGCAGACCCGCCGCCGGTGTCTTTATTCCCCCCGGGGACTCCTGGCCCCGCTCCCCGAGGGCAGGCAGGCAGGCAGGCAGGCAGGGCGGGCGGCTGGGGGCCTCTGCCGGCCGCTCTTCCTGGGGAGGCGAGAGCAGGGCGCCCTGCGAGCCCCCCCCCCCCC